CTTTACTATAAATTACTGCAAATTCTGAACCTGCTTGGAATGCCTGCCCGTGCCTTGAACTCACCCATGCCTGGCTCTCTGACCAGATAGCAGCCCTCTCTGAAACCTTAGTGACACCTCATAAATCTTGGCCTTCCCTGGCCAGATAACGACCCTCTCTGAGGCTCTAATGACCTTCATAAATTCTGATGTCGGGGCCAGCAAAAATGTAAATGACCATTTGTGTTATGCTCATCAGAGTTCTGTTATCTGTAACCCGCCTTTGTGTAACTTTCTGGGCTATAAAGCTGGGCTGCAGGAAAGCTGCGGGTGCTGTCTTGTTCCCGCCATTTTGGGAGGGAGAGGCAGCCCAGCTGGTCGAAATAATAAGCTTGCTTTAATTTGATTTTAATTGGAGTCAGTGGTCTTTTCTTGCATCCTGATCTAACAAGTACTGCCAATTATTTTGAACACGCATTGTACCAACAGTCATGACATTAGATTACACATACTCCAACCACTGATTACTTCACTTTTCCTTATCCAATCACCTTTCCCCACATATCAGACCATCCTGCTTCTTTACCCCATAAATACTCCTAAATCCTATCCTTGGGCAGGCAGATTAGTGACTTGGGGTTCTCTCTTCCTCACACTTGACTGTCTCCTGAATAAACTCTTTTACAAAACTCATTTCAGTGTTTTCCATACTGTGATGAGGGCAAAAGGGGCCTCCTTTGGTAACATCCTCATGTTTCTTTAGTTTACTGTAATCTGTGACAGTTTCTCAGACTTTCTTTGTTATTCATTTTGAAGAGTATTTTGTAGAATGGTCCTCTTTTTGTCTCTACCTATTATATTACATCATCATCAGGCTGGAGTTAGGGTGTTTAGGAAGAAGACCACAGAGGGGAAGTGCTTCTCACTATATTGTTATCAGGCTACATGATGGTCTGACTGAACACTGGTGAAGTGAAACTTGATCACTTGGTTAAGGTGATGTCTGCCAGGTTTCTATCATGACTATATTTCCCCTTCCATATTCTGTTCTTTGGAAATGAGTCAAGTGTGGGGGATGGTTCTCAAACAGGAGCATGCATCAGAATCACACCTGAAGAACTTGTCCAAACACACATTTCTAGATCCCTTTCCCAGAGTTTATGATTCAGCAGGTCTGGGGTGGGCCTGGCCCAAGAATTTACATTTCTAACAAGTTCTCAGATGATGGCAACATTGACCAGACTTTGAGAAACACTGGTCTAGGAAATCTGTCCTTAATTGCTAGGCCTTAGATTTGAGTCAAATGACCTTTGAGAAATTTTAAAAATACATGTTTTCAGGACAAAGTCTCTGGCAATTCTGATTAAGAAGACTTAGCATGGTTCACAGGAATTAGCTTTGTTTTTCCAATCAATTTTTGCAGTGCTAGGGGTTGAACCTAGGACCTTTTGCACGGTAGGCAAGTGCTTTACCACTGAGTTATATCCTAACCTTTTTTAAAATTTTTATTTCGAGACACAGTCTCATTAAGTTGCCCAGGCTGACCTCAAAATTGTGATCTTCCTGCCTCAGTCTCCTGAGTAGTTAGGATTACCAGAACAGGGGTCCAGCACGAGTTGGGCATTTTTATTAATGCAAATCATTCTTGGGAACCACTAGGGTTAATGCTACTCTACAATAATCTGATAAAAGTGTAATTGGCGGAGAGCCTGGGGAAATCAGGCTTCAGGCAGGGAGGGTCTCCACAGCTCCAGCTGTAGGAAGCCAGGGCCAGAGAGCGTGGGAACCCCATAGGTCTGAATCAGAGGCCTCCTACCCTCAGGCTCTGACTTTGCAGTCTGCATTCATCCCTCCAGGAAGTCTCTCTATTATTTTGATTTGCCTGAAATCACATGATTTCTTAGAAGCAGACAGCACTGGCCAGTCAGCACCCAACTCTGACACCAGCCTGCAAGGAGCCATCTGCTGAAACTCTGAGACAGAAGAAAGAACAGCATAGTACTGTTTACTGGCAGATTTATTTTATTGTGTAAATCAAGTCTTTCAAAGTCCCCCCCACCCCAAAGGAGGTTGCATGATTCCAAACATTGCAAAAGAAAACAGCAGGGGAGGGGAGAATGAAAAATTTAGATCTAAGGAGATGATTTTCTTATATGAAAGTAAAAATTTAAATTTTTAGTAATTTACATCATAAGGTTTGCTATTACTACTCAGTTTTTATTCTATTTTCATAATTACTTATTTATAAAAGTTACTTCTATTTTTGGTGAAATGATGACCAGTATTATTACTTGTCCCTGAAAAAAAAAGTTGAAATAAAACAATTTCAAAAAAGTTTAAATGGCATTTCACATAATTACATAAATTTTAATTTAAAAAGAAAGAGATCTAAAAGTTTTAAGAACTAATTTCTTCCTGTGGTATTTTCCTAGGGCCACCACAACAAATTGGCACAAGTTTTGTGACTTAGAACAGAAAGGGCTAGGGGTAGGGGTTAGGTAGCTCAGAGGTAAAATGTGTGCTTAGTGAAACAAGACCCTGAGTTTGATCTCTAGCACTAGGGGAAAAAATAAAACCCAGAAATGGATTTTCTTACAGTTTTGAAGGCCAGAGGTTTAAAATGAGGCAGCCTGCAGGAGGCTGAGGAGAAGAATCCACTCCTGTCCCCTCTTCCCTGCTGGGGGCTACTTGGCAGTTCTTGTGTGTTCCTTGGCTGGTGGCTGTTCTCCAGTCTCCGTGTCAGTTTTTATGTGACCTTTTCCTCCATCTCTGGGTATTTCGAATATTTTTTCTCTTATTAGGACATATGTTATTGGGTTTAAGGTGTGCTTAAGTCCAGTAGAATCTCAAATTGAGATACTACCTCTGCAAAGACCCTGTTTTTAAAAACAAGGTCACTTGTTTACAAGTCCTGGTGGTTAGGACTTAAACATGCCTTTTGGGGTGACATAATTCAACCTACAGAAATTTCCATCCCGACTAGGAAATGTTGAACAAGAGTGGAAAGAAAATCGGCGTGAAGCAGTGCCATGTTATGCTGATCTGGACGCCCATGTGACTTGGGGCAGTTATTCAGTTTCAGCTTCTGGTCTGCTGCTCACCTCTAGCTGCCTTTTTGGACAGAGTGGTCAATGAGAACCACCGTGAGCCACCTGGATGGGCCACACGGCCACCACTTTCTTCTCCTCCTTAACAAATGTGCACTTGGGGATGACAGGCAAGGCTGCACTCTCCCCAAGTTCTATTAACACTCTTCCTACAGAGCCAACCAGTGTAAGCAGAGAGCTCTACAGATACTTAGATGCCTATTTTTTTGTTTGTTTTCGTTTACATAGAACCTAGTTTTGTAAAAGGATTTCTTCCTTTTTTTTTTTTTTTTTTTTGTACTAAGGATTGAACCACAGGTGCTTTACCACCCTTTTAATTTTTCATCTGACACAGGGCCTCACTAAGTTGCTAAGGGCCTGGATAAGTTGCTGAAGCTGGCCTTGAACTTGAGATCCTTTTGCCTCAGCTTCCCAACTTCCCTACTTTCAGTGTATTTTTTTAAAGTTACTATGAAGATTTTTTTTTTTTTAACACCTGAGTCTTAATCTAAGCCAAGTAGAACTACAGGAATAACTTGAGGTAACATCCCTAAAGGGACTAAAAAAAGTGGGAGAATTTTACAGAGACCCAGGGCTATTTCTGAGGAGAACTTTATCATTTAACAGGCTCATTGGCTGCTGGGAGTGGATTCAGGAAGAGGCAGACAGGAGGACGACATCTTTACCCTGTTTCTTATGTCTGTCTGCCTCACGACACTCAGAGCCATTTTTAAAATATCCTACCTATGTTTGACTGATAACCATCTCTCATGTGACGTTTCTAAATGTCATACTTCGGCTCCTTATAATAAATTTGTTATCCTTATTCATGGCATAATTATAAAAATGTTCTTTCTTGGTGAAAAAGCTATATGATGAAAAATGTCCTCTACCACTCTTCTAGGCAAAGAAAACCTACAAACACAGCTGTGGTTAGGTTATACTCCCCAGTTTAAATAATCAGACATAAGATTCTGAAATAGGGATTGAGAAACTTTTTTTTTCCCAACAATCCAGATAATAAATATGTTGGGCTTTGTGAGTCAAAGGGTGTTTGTTGCAACTATCTGATTTTGCTGTTGTAGCATGAGAGCAGCCATAGATAATATGTAAAGGAACATGTGTGGCCATCTACATGCGACACCTAGATTCTGTATATGGATCATAGTTTGCCAATCCCTCCTCTAAAATATCAATTTCTTCTCCAGCTACCTATTACGTTGCTAGGTATCCATCTGGAATCATTAGGGAATTTATCATAGTTCCAGATCCTCTTTCCTAATGTTGAAAACATTTTGGTTGTCTTTTTCAATCCCCACTCCAAAGTGGGGATCTGTTCAGTAGGCATTCCGGTGATTATTGAATGAATAGCAAATGAGGAAGGCCTGAGTTTCTCTTGCCAATATCTTCAGAGGGTTCACTGTGACTTGTCCAGCTCAATTATACTTCAAATTGTTTAGATGAAATAACTCAAGTTCCATATGCCAAAAGGCTGGAAACTCTTATATGGTGGGGCTTTCCTTTTCTTCTTTATAAGAAAGTTATGAGATCTGTACCTCTTGTCATTGGTCAATAGAGTCAAAATATCTTTCAGGAGAGGGAGGGGATGGAGAATGGTACAATCAGAGGATTATGTTCCAGAAGAGAATCCCGAAGATGCACCATTCATCAGATCATTAGAATGCATGGTGAGAAGGGCAACAGTGAACACCAAAAGTCTCAGTGCTTACTCTTTCCAGGTGGCCATCGAGTTTGGCTTATTGATAGCAATGGGCACAAAGAGGAGTCTAAAACAGTGTGGGCCAGATAGCAGCACTTCCCTGCCACAGGTCAGGGTACTATGGTTACTATGATATGGGGCAAGATTGAAGGCACAGTTAAGGGGGTTGACCTGGAGGGGGCTTTGTAGATGATTAAAAGGACATTGAATCCATGGAAACCAAATAGATGGTAATGTTTAATATATTCAACCACAAGTAGGCAAGATAAGCAGTAAGCTGGGGGTGGTTGTCCCAATAGAAAAATCATCCTTTGCTTAGATGTCATACAGAAGCCAATTTCAGACTCAGAAACTGGCGACTAAAGAGGCAATAAGTCCACAGGGAAAAGAACACTGAGATACCATGACAATACTACACTGTTAGTTCTTCCCATTCTCCTCAAAAGAGACCTGTGATAATTTACTTGAGAAAACATGCAAAGGGGGAAAGAAGAAGATACATTTGGGGTATTGGGTCTAAATTAACAGAGTCATGATATTCCAAAGCATTATGCTAAAGTAAAGTCATACAGGGACAGGTAATAAAACAGAATCCTGACCAAAGTCTTGCTCTCAATAAGTCCCGCAAATCAGTGAGATCATCAATCGGTCATTCCCTCAGTCACTGAGTGTAACTGGGATTGACAAACATAGCCATTGAAGTTACTTACCCTTGAATTCTTCTACATGGGAGCTGCCATAATGGGGGAAATAAATGGGAAGCCCCTGAAACTGTACTCCCTACATCCCCACGCTCTAAACCCTCACCCTCCTCCATCCCTGGCCAAATGGTGAATCAAAAAATATTGCCTTTGGTAGTGGTGGTGGTGGGAGGAATGGCAGAAATCAGTGCTATCCTGCAGAATCTGAAGAATGTAGAGTGGTGGGCCATATGCTAGTGCATTTAATTCACCCAAGTGACTACTGCAGAAACCAAGTGAATCCGAGAGAATGGCTGCTGGCCTCTGCAGACATAATAACTCCAATTGCGGCTAACTGCTAGATGTGTTATCCTTGATAGTGGAGACTGGAGACTCCTTAGGTACACGGTATGCAGACCTTGGTTTGGCATTCTCTTCTGTCTTAGGAAAGATCAGAAACAGTATTTACATGAAGCAGGCACCGGTATATATTTGCAGTTTTGACCCAGACTGTGTGAACTCCTGCTTTCCGTCATCATCTACTCAGATGAGGTCCTGCCTGGATATGTGACACAGCATTGTGTTCATAAGGCAGAAGGAGTGAGAAGTGGCTAACGTTCTAGAGGTCTTGATTGATAAGGACGACCGTGTCATACAAGGTGCAGGAGTAAAAAGTTATGATGATTGAGGGGCCTTTGACTCTTATCCAATTTTTAGAGGTCCAGTGAGTGAAGTCAAGCCATGCATGGTATTCTCCTCCAAAACACATTTATTTTGCCTCTTCTACAAAAATGTTCCTAGGACCCTCTGACTTACAGTGCTGCCAGGTTGCTCATACTGGAGTGTGCTCCAGCCAATATACTTACTGGATGCAATGAAGGCTACCTACCTTCAGCGGGGCCTGAAGCAGGAAAGGCATCTCCATGCAGAGAGGCTACAGTACTAGCAGCCTTACTGCTTGGGTCATTTAACTGGTAAACCCTGTGTTGCTGGAGGTGTTAGTGGTAGGAAAAAATACGGTAGGACATCTATATACAAAGCCCCTTGGGAGTACCATAGCACAGATCCCTGGGGTTCCAGAGCAAGGGCATCTGCAACAGAGACATAAGCCTTTTGAAAAAGTTCTGGTGTGTTACTGAGTCCCAGTAGAGATAGAATTCTTGATTACAGAACCCCAAGGAACAATGCAACCAGAACTCTCCATTATGAGCCAGGTTCCATCCGACTGACCCACGGGGTTATAAACTCTGGTAGTTCTGGTAGCAGTCCTCTGGGATCAAGCCTGAGCAAGACCGGAAGTCATAAGGTAACCTCAGGAGCAGACAGCCCAGGTTCCCAGGTCACCTACCACAGGAAGCACCAACACCCCACCCTCTGATCCTGCCTAGGACAGCATGGGGGGGGTCTCACATAACCATATGAAGGAGGAGGAGGAAAAGCATGAACATGTTTATGGGTCAGTCAGCTCAGAGTTGGGGGCAGGCTGAAAGTCAGCACAGCAGTGCTTTTACTCCTTGTGGGGTGAGAGGGGCTTGAGAAACTGGTATAGGAAAATCATCTCAACAGGCAAAGCTCAGAGCTGTGTGCCTCTTACCCATTTTGTATGGAGGGAGCAGTGGCTTGAGATGGGAAAATATACAAAGCCATGGATGAAGGCAGATGGTTGCCTGAAAAATTGCAGGCAAGGAGGTTTTGTGTAGAAGACTGTGGGTGTCCACATGGGAGTGAGCCTAGTGTGTGGAGACATTTTACTCACATATGGACACCAGAAAGCATCCATCACTTGGAAAACTGAGAAGACAAAAAGACTTGGCCAGTCGGCAGGTCTTTGAACTTGACAAGACGGACACATGAATGGAGGGGTCATAGTGGCAGAGCTCATACCGAGGCTCGAATCTTAGGATTCATCTACTGACACCTCTCCAAGTTTAACTTACCAGCAGCAGGGAGAAATATTGCTCCCGACATAACATCATCTTCAAGGATCATCATCATCTTCAATCCATGATTTCCTTATGATGGGAATCAATGGGTGTCTGACATATATGGTAACATGTTGAACATTTTTTTGAAAAATTGTAGGAATTTCAGTACCTTCAGTGCCTAATTTTAGTACCCTCACTAAGGTATGTCCTCAGTGGTGGGTTATTTCCTGGCTTTACCCCCATGCCTAATGAGTGGTCATAAACTTATAATTGGTACACATTAACACGAAATGGCCTAACTCAGGAAAGGAAAGCCAACCAACGCATGGGGTGTCTTTACCAATAATAACTGGGATAGTTAATCAGTACCATATAAAAAATTTAGCCTTGTATTAGGCTAAATATATAAACACTTAAATAAATATAAATATTTATTTATATATATTTGTATATATAAATAAAATAAAAATAAAAATAAATATATAAACATTTTGTTCCATAAATGTTTGTTAAATAATTAGTAATAAAACTATTGACTTGGGTAATTGCCTTCACAGATGTTAGAGTTTGGGCATTTAACATTTTAATGGGAATTATAAAGTGTTATATCCCCTTTCCTATTTTAGAACAATTTATGATGTCAATGTTTCTTAGTAACTTTATACCAATAAGTAAACATCCTACACTGCTGAGATTGGGTGGATGCCAACACATCAGGCTGAGTTTGTCCTCGTATTATATTCTTTGCCCTGTTCTGATTTTTTTTACAGATATCAGTAGTCAGCAGTGTGTCACAGTCAAGGTTGAAAGGTACAGAAATCATCCTAAATTAAGGAAGGTTTACCAAGAAGATATTCGGCAATCTCATGACCATGATGATTAAGGTTATGAGAAATTGAGCCGGCACCTGGAAAACCATCAGAAACAAGGCCTGTGTGTGTGTGTGTGTGTGTAACACAATCTCTTTCTTCTCTTTTTCCCTCTGTTCCAGTCTCTTGTTCAGTATACATGTCGCTTAAAATACTTGTTCTAGTCCTGACCAATCTTTTTACTTCAAATGTGAAATACCATATATGTATTAGTTCAAATTATCAAGAAGGAGAATATAAAATCACCAAGCAGCCAACAAATTGGAGTGTTTGTTGTTGTTGTTGTTGTTGTTTGTTTACTTGATGAATCATCCTTGGTCAGAGAGAAAGAGACCTGGGGCACAGCAGTCTATAGCATAATCAGAGGTGCACAAACACCTGTGTGAGTGTGGCCGATCCTAAGAAAGGGAATGGTATCTAGCTTTGGTCCTTTATTAGTGCTAGAAGTCCTGGTAAAACTACCATGTTTCCACTTCCATCCTAATTTATTAATATTTAAGAGAGTTTTTCTGATTTAAATTGTATTAAGGGAAAATCACAAGGATCAAGAGTTTCTCAATTTTTTTCCTCCTGATTCTTCTCATTGCTCTTTCTACCCAGAATTGTATTAAAAACAGGTTCCAATACTATTTCAGGGAATACCAACACACATCCATATGAAGCCATTTTTCTTTGAGATCAACTTATCTCAGACAAAATGGTGGATCAGCTCCAAGGGAAATGGAAATCGGTTTCTTGTGAAAATTTCGAAAAATATATGAAGGAAATGGGTAAGCCATGTTTATTTCTATAGCATATCTAGTATTGATGGGAGTTTTGATAGGACCTAATTTGCTTTTATTAAATATGACTAATTTGTGGCTCCTAATTTTTCACAAAGGAAAAATAAATACTGTTTCTATCTTAGGATGCAGATTTATACAAAACCAGGTTGGAATTGATATAATCCTTCATGTAATATCCCATGTTTGTTTTATATAAACAAAATATGCATATTTTATTTACTAAACAGCAAATGATTTTAATAATTTAAAACAAAAAACATAATTACTTTTAAAAACAATTATTTTATAAACATTTGCTCTAATGTTTAGGAGATCTTCAAAATAGATCTTATTTTCCAGCTTCCAATAGCTATTGGTTTTCCTTTGTGTGTGGTTACAACATCCCAATTTTTGCTCCCATTTTTTTACTCTGGACTCTTTTCTTCTATTGTCTAACATTCACCTTTTCTTCTCATACAAGGAAACTTATGATTAACTTTAAGGTCCTCTCTGATAATCCAGGTTAATCTCCCATCTCGAGATCCTTAAATTAGCTATCCCTGCAAAATCCCCTCTAGCATATAGAATAACATTCATAGGTTCCAGGGATTAGGATATGAATGACTTCAGTATCCATATTCAACCTGTAATATCTTGTAATAATGTTTTATAGCATGAATTCTGTGAACCAAGTTATAATATTTCCCCAATATATCTTCTCTTAGAAATTTACCTTTAATGTTACTATGTACAGAATTCTATTTCTATTTGAAACATTCCTACATAAGCTGCCATAAAACTGTATGGGCAAAGATATTTACTGAAGAAGTATTTGTAATAACAAAAATGGAAACAAACAAGTGATCATCAATGAGGGATAGTGAAAACAAATTTTGATATGTACATGCTGTGGAATATTATGTCACTATGAAAATTTACATCTGTAAGTACTTATGTCAATGGTATTCAAGACACATAGATAAGAGGAAAAGGAAAGCTGAATAACAATATATATAATATAGCAATTATATTTTTAAAAACCTTATATACATTGGGGATAATTGAGATACTTACAATGCCTGAATTACACATTTTAAATGGTTAAAATGTAAACTCATGTTACATGTATTTTAATATAATTTTATTTTAATCTGCATACCTAGTAGAAAGATCAAACCCTATATATGAATGTTAAGTGAAGAACTAAAGATCTGGAAGAATCCATACCTGGGTATTTTGTTTATATGTGAAATAATTATACTTTTTTAAATAGGTAGATGGTTCATATCTTTAAACAGATATTCAAAGGGACCTTTGCATCAACAAGATTAATAACTAACTTCTGAATTACAAAACTAACTTCTGAGAAACAAAACAATAACTAAACAAAAACTGGAGACTGCCTTTTTTTGGTCAAAATTAATGGATTTTATTATGTAATGGTGGAGCTGTTAACTTTAGATGTTTGCATTCATTCTGCACTAAAATCTGTTTAACTCAGCTTTAGGGCTGGGGCCAGACCTGGTTTTGATCTCCAGTACTGAAAAAATAAAAAATTTAAAAAGGGAGGAAATTTTGTTTAATTCACAACCCCCCCACCACTTCATAAAGAATTATACAAACAATCTGAGTCATTGAAACCAGCAACAGATTTAACTATATGTTCATTTATCTGTTTCCCAGGAATAGGAAGAGCCAACCGGAAACTGGGTCGTTTGGCAAAACCCACTGTGACCATCAGTACAAACGGAGATGTGATCACCATAAAAACCAAAAGCATCTTTAAGAATAATAAGATCTCCTTCAAACTGGGCGAAGAATTTGAAGAAACCACACCAGGTGGCCATAAAACCAAGGTGAGGGCTGCAACAGTCTTTCAGATAATTTTCATAAAGATGCTTAGTAGAAATCATCCTAAGTAAGCAATAATAGCAAGCATAGATAAAGTCTTATTAGATAAGCTCTGGATAAAACCTAAATCTGAAGATGTTGAATGTTAGTATACATTAAGATCTCCCAGGATACTTGTAGAAAATGCTTTCTGCTCAATCCCATCCCAGGGGTGCTGAAGTCTGTTATGGGCACCTGAAAATTGCAATTTTAAAAAACAATTCAGATGCAGATGCCTAGCAGAATCACATTCTGGGAATCATTTTCCTAGATTAATATTTAGTTCTATCAGAAACAAAAGCTTTCCCTTTCAATTTTGTAATTTTCCACACATAGAATCTCAATGGATGAAACTTATATTAGTTGGTATCAGCAAGGTTAGGCTCCTTTAACAAGTGAGTCACTAGCTCTCCATGGCTTAACATGGTGCAAAATCATTTCTAACTAAGAGTACATAGGCAATGCTGGGTGTGTGGGGGAGGAGTTGAGGAAGTGTGTGCATATGTGTGTAGTAGATGGAAAGAATATCTGCCTCTCTTAATCTCTCAGGAATTCATGTGAAAAGATGTTCCTCTACCTCATAACTGCATGATCTGGAACTTGTGGTCTCTTTGGTCAAGACAAAAAGACTCTGAGCTTTTTATTGTCTCAGCCTGAAAGGGACAGTTTTTAGTCATATCTCATGGGTTCCAATTGAAACATGTCATTTACTTGTAATACATATTTTATTGTTTGGATATGAGGTGTCTCCCAAAAGGTCCTGTGTTAATGCAGGAATATTTGGAGATGAAATTATTGGATTATGAGAGCTGTCACCTCATCAGTCCATCCTAGTTTGAATTGTGGGATTGGTGACTGTGGGCAGGTGGGGTGTGACTGGAGGAATTGGATCTCTGGGATCCTGCCCTGGAAGGATTCATCTTCCCTGAAGCTCCTTCCCTTCATGCTCTCTGCTTCCTGGCCACCATGAATGGAGCGGTGCTCCTCCATCTTCCCCTTTTGCCATGATGTCATGCCTCACCCTGGGTTCAGAGCAATAGAGTCGGTCCACCATGGACTGAACCTCTGAAACCATGAGCCAAAATAAACTTTTCCTTCTATAAGTTGTTCTCTTCCAATATTTTGATGATAGTGCCATAAAACTGACCAACACAACATATTTTACCTTGTTTATTGTTTGTTGTCTGATTTCCCACCCAAGAATGTGAGCATCTGGAAGATGTTTCTCATCTGTTTCACAGAACCCAGTACTTGGTACACAATAGTTGGTCAATAAATACTTGTTGTTTGACTGAATTAACTCAATATAAGATTGTTAATCTCGGTGGAGGGCAATATCCTGATAGAAGGGACTGCCACACCATTTTAAAGTTAATAAACATGAGACTTAATTTCTGCACCATGTAAAATTAAAGAATTTTGAACTAAAATGTGGAGTCAAGATGTGGGAGCTAAATTTTAAAAAGAGAAACTACTATAATTAAAAAAAATATTTAAAATATTGTTGAGGTAAGAAAAGGAAAGGGGACTTTTCATCCTTAGGAAAGCTCTTACAATGGGAGTGTGAATTAGCTTCATGTATCTTTAAAGTTGAAACTTAATTTTTGGAATTCTTTATGCAAAAAGATAATATCATATGCAGTAAGAGATAAAGAAAGGGTTCAAGTTATTGTGTTTTTGCTTTTGTAAAGCATTCTGCCACTCCCCAAAGAATCATTCAACAGAATTATTGCTGAAAAAGTCTTAAATAGAATTGTAAATACCATCCTCAAACTCCCCGAAGGTATCAAAAGCTGAAGAGAATTGGGCACTTGATCACATGTTAGTGTTCAAAGGTGACAATTGGATCTGAACTTGGTTTGGCCTGTTTTTCAGAGTACCGTGACCTTAGATAATGACACCTTAGTCCAAGTTCAGGACTGGAATGGCAAGGAAACCACCATTCGGAGGAAGCTGGTAGATGGCAAAATGGTGGTGGTGAGTGAGCTCTCCTTCCTGTTCTCTCTTACACCTAAGGTGAAATCATCCAAGTAACTGGTTCTAAGACAATCTAAGACATTTTTCTTTTATATTCTTACTTTATAAGAATTGATGGAAAACATTGACAGACTGTAAACAGTATAAAATGTGTATGCTTGAGGTACTAAAGAAACAATCCTCACAATAATCCTGTGAAATTAGATTTATTAGTCCTTTGACAGATGAGGAAATTATACAGTTAGAAAAGTGTGTTAATGTTGGGATTAAAACCCAGGACACTTAAATTCAAAGTTTGCACTCTTGTGTGTCCCTTCTGTTCCTGCTCAAGATTCCCTGGTCATCTTTCTTAATTCTACAAAGTGGAGAAGGGAAGAATGTCAATGACTCTCCTCCTCCAAACCTCACCTCCACCAAAATAAATAAAAAAGATAATATTGAGCAAAATATAACATAGTTTAAAAGAAAAATACAAAATCTGTGTGGTGGTAAACAAAAAAATCTAGACTAATCTTAATAGGGGATTTTTTTTCTTTCTGCAACAAAGACTACAATAGAAGGGAAGGATCAAGAATGACTGATTTTATTGATTCTGATAATGATATTAACCAATGAACAGGCAAATAAATAGTTCAATAAATAGCCAATAAACAGAGTTCATTAGAAAGAACAATAAACTCGGAATCCAAGGGTGTGGATTTTCATTTCTGCCATTCAGTATGTATGTGACTTTGGACAAGTCATTTATCCTTCCCCAAATTAAGATTCCTTGCCTTTAAGATGTAGACAGTACCTTCACAAGTTTTCTAGGAGCATTAAATATCATCATGTACATAAATCCGTGTTCTGAAACCATAAAATGAGGCATTGATCTAAATTGGTATTATTATCTGAAAAACACCAAACATGTAAAATAGCAAAAATGCCTCAATGTAGGCATTTAAGATATTTTAAGTAGGACTTTAGATTCTCAGTGTATGCCTTACTTTTTTATATGTATACCAATGTATATAATATACACACCTTATATATGATATCAATGAATATCACCTATATATCTCTTTTCAAGATTTTTAAGGAATGGTGTATATGGACAGCACCTAGTTTATATTTTTCCAGGTGTTCATTTCCTCAACAATACTGAGATAATTCTCCCTCTTTTTATCTTCCAGGAAAGTGCTGTGAACAATATCATCTGCACAAGGACATATGAGAGAGTGTAAACGTACTCAGTCTCATGCCCTTGCCACTCCCAAACTGTGATCGAACTGCTGAAGTTGTTTGAATCAAACTCCAAAGTTAACTGTTAATATGAGTGAGACTTTATTTGTACAAATATCAGTGATTTTGGTTACTCTGTTAAGAGTGTCTACATTATATAGTATCTTGGTATTGGCGCAGCTATGAGAAACTAGGATGCTATACCTGTTCAATGCAGGGTTAGGATCATATATTCACAGAAGCACTTTATACTGATTTTTTTTCTAGTTAGGCATATTATGTCCATCTTTCAAATTCAACACAATCTTCATGACATTGAAAAAAATCATGTTAATTTTTAATGAACTACTTAGGTCATAATGTTCTTCATGGGTTATACAACGGTTGTATCTGAAAAGAAAAAAAAAACCCCACAAGTTTAGAGTAAGGCAATAACTGACACTCCAATGCCTAACTATTATTACAGAGAATACCCATAACCACTAGTACCATCACTAAAGCCACCCGGACAAAGGGTATATTGTTTTATTCACACCAAACCTCACACAGTAGATTGATCATGGGGAAATGGATCCTAATCAGTTAACTTTTCAATATTATCCAGAGGGTTTCAGAAAGAACTGGAACCAAAATTCCTGTTTTCCCATTATTAGTCTCAGAACCATAACAAAGTGAATTTAGATGGGAGCCATTAGGTAGAACCAAGTTCTCAGTGTACGACAATGAATCAAAGGTAACACTGCATCAAAGAAATGAATAAACAAGCTTCCTTTATCTTACAATGTGTGGCAGCACACGACTGCTCAGTCCCAGGTGAGGACACAGGATTTGACCATTTGAACTTGTGGCTGGTCACTGCTTATTTATGTGAAATAGTATACAGGGGCATCTTGATTCTTGTAGAAGTAAGAGAAGCTTATTTTTAAGTATGATGAAATTATGAATATGACAGTAGAAAGCATAGAAAGATGTTTGTCCCCTTGAGCTTCTTGCACTGGACAGAGGATTCCAATCAGAGGTTAAAGGATCTGTTTTCTGTATCCTGTGTGTGGTGGTGGGCTTAAGCAGCTCTGCTGCAGGGACTAGGTAATAACTTGCTGTACAGAGAGGAAAAAGATGCTTTCTCTCCCACCAGAATGGAACCCAGAGTTGCTTGACACTTTTAAGGTCAGAGCCAATGGTGGGGGGTTGGTTCAGGACAAGGTGCTCTTAACTTTAGTATTAGGGTATCCTGGCTGCCATGGTAATGGAGATAGTCTTGTGGGCAGCAGGATGCAGTCTGGGAAGCCTTATAGAAAAGGGTTCGTTCTATGAGAACACAGGAGAGATATCTCTGATAATTCACAGGACACCTGGTGGGAGGGGCTAAGAACAGGTAGAATTTGCAAGCACTGGAGTTCTTCATGAGCAAATGCAAGCAAGAGCCTGCTCCAAAACGACATAGTTCAGGATTCGTGGCACCATCCACCATGTACCAGGCTTTTATGAGAACTGTTGAAGAAAGAACTAACTTCTGTTTGGTGCCCTTGGACTCAGGAATTAAGTGCTATGCTGTAAGTTAATCAGCCTTCTGTCACTACAGCAAATACTAGAAATAACTTAGAAAAGTTTTATTTTGGTTCACAGTTTTAGATGTTCCAGTCCACAGTCAGTAGAGGTCCCATTGTTCTGGGTCTGTGGCAAGGCAATGCATCATCATGAGAGCACATGGCAGAGCAAAACTGCTTGCTTCATGGCTGAAGCAAGACAATGAGAAGAGGAGGCCAGGGTCCCTCAGTCTCTTTCAAGGGTACAGCCCCAATAACTGAGAATTCCCACTAGGCCCCACCCTAAATGTTCCACCAGTTTCCAATCAATAGTGCCACCTCAACAGTCAAGCTGTTATTACATAGGCATTTAGGGGGACATACAGATCAAAACTATAGCAGAAAGGAATCATGGGCATGCTGATCTTAGGGGATTTATAAGCAACAGATGATGTTTCCACCTGGAGAGAGACAGAGAGAGAGAGAGAGAGAGAGAGAGAGAGAGAGAGAGAGAGAGAG